CCATAGTTTGGATCAACTCAGCTTATTTAAATCCAGATTCAGTAAAAATCATTTTTAAAAAAATGTTTTTCAACGGTTTTTAAAACAAAGGCTCAATGCAACCGTGAGCAAAATGATGAAATCATGGACAACCCCTCGGGCAAACCTCACTCGTATACAACCCCTCGGGCAACACAAATTATAAATAGCCCCTCGGGCAAACATCACTCGTATACAGCCCCTCGGGCAAACATGAATCATAAACAGCCCCTCGGGCATCCATCACTCAGAATCAGGGTACCCGCGCTCACTGGGGGTGTGAAGACTCCGGAGGGGCTCCTACAGCCCAAGCGCTATAATTCGCGGAGCTCTCTATTTATACCTTCTGCCCAGCAAAACCGCACCTGCGGTACCAATTTTTGCATCTGCGCTCCGCACCTGCGGACAAATCTCTACTTCTGATGATTTTCATTAACCAGCTAAACTCCGCTTCTGCGGTCGCCTGTCCGCACCTGCGGTCACGCAGATGTGGGGCCCAAGCCGCACCTGCGATTCCCAATCTGCAGGTGCGGAAACACCAGCAACAGCAGCTTCAGCTGCACTTCCCAAATTCCAAACTCCCTGATGACCATCCGAATTCTTCCCGAGGTCCTCGGGACCTCAACAAAAAATACGAAAAAGTCACATATCAACATACGAACTTAGTCGAACCTTCGGAACACTCAAAAAAATATCAAAACACCCTCAGAATCAAGCCTAAGAACTTCTAAACTTCCAAATTCCGCAAACGATGCCGAAACCTATCAAACCTCGTCTGAATGACCTCAAATTTTGCACACACATCACAAATGATGCCACGAACTTACTCCAACTTCCGAAATTCTATTCCAACCCAGATATCAAAAGTTCTACTGCCGACCGAAAATCACAAAATTCCAATTTCGCCAATTCAAGCCTAATTCCACCACGGACCTCCAAATCACATTCCGGACGCGCTCCCAAGTCCAAAATCACCTAACAGAGCTAACCAACTCATAAAAATCCAAATCCGAGATCGAATACTAAAAGGTCAAAACTTGGTCAAACCTTTCAAATTTAAAGCTTCAAGCTGATAAACATTCTTCCATATCTGTTCCGATTAACCAGAAAACCAAAACCGGCGATTTACATAAGTCATAATACATCATGCGGTGCTAGTCATGCCCGAGAACTGGCGAGCGAAGTGCAAATGCTCAAAACGACCGGTCGGATCGTTACATCCTTCCCCACGTAAACACACGTTCATCCTCGAACGTGCCCAGAGTTGCTCCAAAAGTCATCAAATCGATGTATAACCTTACCATGCACATAACCGGGGGTGATCCCACGTCAACCTATCCCGTATAGGTCCGATAACACAACATAACTGAAATTCACAACTCGCCCTAGCCCATAACCTTAGAGTCACATTTCCACTTCCGAAATTATCTATAAGATTAGAATCTCACATCTATACACTGAATAAGTCTGCACACGATGTATCAAGCAATAATTGCAACTCAAGATGAAATCACATGATATACCACACAACTCGAACACTCATAGCGATAACTTCTAATCACAGCAGTTGCTCGAACAACCCAATACCGGTAATAACCCTCTTATCAAACAAAGCCTCATTCCAACACTTTCGTATGCTACCAATGATGAAAGAAACACACAAAAATCGTAACCATTTCCTCAGATCAACCAGTCATAGAGTTCCGTCTCCTTCGACAAGGACTATAGTAAATTTCTAAGCCGAATTTTGATATTATCTTTCCAACGTGCTGAAATCAAATCCGATAGTATTCATCCTAGGTCCAATGACCTCATCTCATCCAACACGACTACTCTAGTGACATGACACATCAATACCATCTAAAGCCACAACCCGTGCAATCCGCGCACCAATAAGCAACAATCCCAATGTACTCAAATCATGGAAAATGACTCAAATGAGAGAGTTGTACCGCAAGTTCACCAGTACTACCACAATGCAATGCTAATAACCCATCACACACCGTAGAACCAAAATACACGAATCTAACACAAAGGGTTATATCCCAACATAACTTTGCTGAAATGCGCGATCCCATCCAAACACCGGTCCACATAAAATACTTCAAGCCACCTTTTTCAAAACCAATAACCACGCGCAATTCGACATCAAGTACTCAAAGTGCATGACCATAACCACGGAGAAGCAAGTGACATCACACCACACATAATGCGAAAGAACATAACCAATACGCCATCCACCAAGCAATACCCAATACTCTTCCCACTCAAATTCCGCTGTGAGACCCCAATAGAACCACACCATATGTGCATATAACCAACAAATCATAACTCCCTGTAACACGGAAGGGTAACACATAGATCACTCCAGAACACAAATAAGCTCAATAACAATCGAATGGCACATTCCTCAACAATAGCAATTCGGAGTCAACAAATCCGACCCGATGCAGAACACACATCCATATTGGGTATACCAATGAACCCCAAATCAACTCTGGTCCCCCACGATAGGTAAATAACCCTCCGAAAGTCTACCATGACTGAATCACAACACACACTAACCCCTGACTAACCTTGGCTACATTTTCACATTCCACAGCCACGAAATAATCTACTCACGAGACTCTCAGTCTCCAAATTCGTAGAACGTACAAATTACCATCTTTGATCTCAACTCTGCCGCCTGAACGCCCACACTTTTCCAATTACACGGTCATCCCACGAGGAATACCGCTAGAATTCTTCAGTGCCAAAAAGCAAAATTTGAACTCTAGCAGTCGGTCAACCAAGAGAGTGCCGCAATACTAATAAAGTATTCATAACTCAAACACATCGCCCCTTTTTGAAATGTATATTCTCATCAAGCCATACCAATTAGTAGTATCATTTACCTAGTCATCTGAAACTGTCCATGCTGCCTAAGAATTTACGACCTTCCTTTCAGAACTGAACCATGACCTTACACATGCAAATATCAATCCTACACAACATACCGCTTATACCATGCCATCCTATGATAAATGTGTGAACTTCATAATATGTTCCGAGCCACAAACAACTACATACTCAACTAGCCAAGAACTTTCCATTTGATCCCATCTAGGATAAATCACCATACATCACATGCTCCTCACGCCAGTAGAAAATACACATCTCTAACCGTGGTAGAAACCATCAAGAACTTTCCGAACCCCATTGGCACAAAACCAAACCGTCAGGACTGAATCCTCCTAACTCAACCAAGCTACGCAGGCCACCAAAAACCCAAGAGCATTGCCACGAAATACCTGTAGAAACTCATTACCTCATAAACACCCAAAGAACTAATCATACCCATTGCCATGCCGATCTAACCTACTACCAAGCTATCCTATCTATCTGAGTTCCTTCTGAATTACTTTCAAATTGATACTTCTATTCGCCATAACACCACAATCTTCAACCCAAACTCACCACACGAGACCTAAGCATAAAACAACATCGTCTAAGGCTCATAAGCCGCTGAATACTATTTTAAATATCCCCAAAAGCACTATATTCAAAATACTTACCCTGAAGAGACTTCCTGCAAATCTAGAGTCATTACCTTCACCTCCCTGATACTGATATGTAGAATCCATCCCGATATAGAAATGCCACAAGTCTTGATACCCTCCCAAGGTAAACCTTAGTTTCTAGCCAAATACACATCCTGAAGATCCCCAATTGTTACATATAGAACTTGAATCCGTTAGAACCATTCTCGGGAGTCCTCCGCTCTACTCAAATCTCAATTAGACTTCAAACGGACCGAACAACCTGTGCTCTATTAGCACTCCAATACCCTAGGAAGTAACCCCACCTTAATGCAACCAAATAAATTCCTGCTCCATGCACATTACATCCTTCACCAATAACAACTCAAGTCATTCTGTGATTCTCATACACCCATAAAGCATAACACAACCCTTATCCAAAATTTCCTTTACTCGAGTCATCCTCGATCTTAACTCCTATAAGCCACAACTGATACACCAGTATACCTCCAACTGAAACCAACACAACACATAACCGTGCAATCAACTGATCAATAGCAGACTCCCCCACTTGGCTCAAAGCCATAGATAAAACACACAATAACTCAAGATACCCATACTCTATTACTGCCATACTACCATAGTGAGATTCAACTGAATCCTTCATAAGCTCATGCAACACAACCCGTCTAATACCTCAAATCATTTGCAAATCTTGCATTCACCCTCGTAACAGTCAAGCCCACTCTCATAAGCGATCCCAACTCAAATTGCAACACATATAACTCACTGGTAAAAGAAAACTCGCTACAAAACAACATAGGGATCACACAATCCTTAGGGAACCCCGCAGGAGATAACCCACCTGCTTCGCCTCAAGCTAACATCTCCGTATACCCTTCCACGATCATAAATATCATGCAATCACTTGCTCTTCCTGAGTCTGAACTCACATCACAACATGAAAATCTACTCACTCCTCAACTAAACAATGTAGACATGTAATTTTTGACCCTCCCCAAGGTTTTTCATATTTTAGCATGTAAATATTTAATTTAGGCCTAATAGCGCTATTTCAATTAATTTTGACGCTTTTACTTTATTTTAGTACAAGAAAAATGAAAATTACAAAAAAATATTTTAGTTTTTGTATTTTTCATAAATTTTGAAAAAAATACAAAAAAATAGTACCCTATTTTTATCTTTATATAATTTCAAAAATACAAAAATAGTTTCACGTTTAGTTTAATTAATTAGGATTAGTTTTGACATGGTGTAGTATTTCGATCTTATTTTAAAAGATATTGTGTAGTCTAGGGACCCTTCTAGACTCTTCTTTAGAACAAAAAAATAAATAAAAAGACCCTAAGGACTAACACAAAAAGACCTAGGGACTAATTAACAAAAGACAAAAAAAAAAAAAAAAAAAAAAAAAAAGAAAATACGCCTGGAGAAGAGGATAGAGTAGCGCCGCAAAACAGGGACCCCATCGTTTCCATCTTCTTCTTCGAAGAAGCATCCTTCACCATGGCTTGATCTTAACCAAAATATACAGCATCCTCCGTTGTCAACACAAACGACGCACCCCCCATCCTAGGTACTGATCATCTTCTTCATTCATAGAAGAAGCAACCTGCTGCCATAGCTTCTTAAACCAAAAACGATCCTCCACCTCCAAACGCCATAGCCGCTGCTCATTCTTCTTCCCTTTCACAAAAATCGACCATCCCACTCACGCACCATAAGGAGAGAACAGGAAAAGAGTAGAAACGCAGCAGCATGTTTTGTATTATGTCCATTGATTTCATCTTTTGGGGTTTAGCTCGAGTTTTTCGGTAAGCTTCAAGGTCGTCGAAAGTCGTTGTCCGAATTTCCGTTTCAGTCGCACGTCGAGATACTATCGTTGGTTTCCGGTTCGAGTTCCGTCCAAAGTTCATCGGATTGAGGTCCATTGCTAAACTTTGTTCTTGATTAATTTGTTGTGGTTCTATCTTGTGTATTTTGATATAGAAGGAAGTTCTGCTCGATTCTTAGTTTGCACAATGGTGTGCGTGTGATGTTTCTGTTTTGCATTAGCATATTAAATGCTTATTGACGTCTAGTTTCTTAACGAATCAACATGCCTGTTAGATTAATGATGAGTTGAATTAAGGATTTTAATAAAGTGGGACAAAGGGTGATTAAGGAAAAGGTTTCAGTTTATGCGGTGAGATCATTGCATTAATTTTACTAATCTGATTGTTTTTGAATTTAGCACAGAAAAGAATTATCATTGTGTTTGACGTATATGCAAAATGTAGGACATTGTTGTTTGCTATACTCGACTTTAAATGTTGCTGTTTGTTTGGGTGAATTTTAGTTGTTCATGGTACTAAATTGTATTTTGTTTAAATTAAATAAGCTCTCCTTAATTTGAGGAAGGCCATATTAGATAACGCAATAGTCATGGCCCTCCGGATGTAGTTGATTTAATCCTTTTAATTTGGAATTGAGGTGCCCATGCCGAACAAAAATGACAATTGCATGGCCCTCGTTTTAATTAATCTTGTATTGATCCTTACAATTCGAGGCGCGCCATTTAGCAAATCCCATGGCCCTCGCAAAGTGCAAACGCGTAGTTGCTTTAGGCACGTATTTTAATAATCTACTTTCCTAAACTCGGGTGCACATTTATGTGACCCAAATCCAAATCTCAACGTTAGATAAAATGTGTTATGGGCTACGGGTGCATTTATGTGACGTGGTCCGAAACATATTTTAAATGACGTTGCACTCATCCTTGAATTAATTAAATAAAAGTGATTAAAAGGTTAAAATTGCACATAGGTTACTAATTGTTTAAAATCAGATAATTAAGCCGAATATAACAGTTGAGCGACCGTGCTAGAACCACGGAACTCGGGAATGCCTAACACCTTCTCCCGGGTTAAAATAATTCCTTACCCGGATTTCTGGTTCGCGGACTGTTAAACAGAGTCATTTTTTTTCTCGATTCGGGATTCTAAACCGGTGACTTGGGACACCATAAATCTCCCAAGTGGCGACTCTGAATTCTTTTAATAAAATCCCGTTTCGATTGTCCTTTAATTGGAAAAACTCCCTTTATTATACCCTTCCGGGGGTGTAGTGAAAAAGGAGGTGTGACAAACAACACGAAAAAGTCCTTCAACACACCCATAACTCGAGACTATACGTCAAATCAAGATGGAAACCAAGCACCAAATAGTTATTTCTACTCCTCAAATAGCCTTTCTCGTCACATTCAAACCATATGAACACATCTCGCAGTCACATCATACTCATCACGTAGCCATCCAGCCATCAATTCCACTATTGGGGACACTATCGGACATATAAATCCAAAAGCACGTGTTCACACAATCAACACCTTAGTGCTCAAGCTACAATTAAAACCCGGCCTCAAGTCCTCCAAACTGGCCCATCATCAGCATACTGAAATCACATCTCGCACCTCATCCATGGAATCACAAGCTGTCAATGCACAGCTGATACCGAGTGCTCATATGTGCATACGAACGTGTGGAAGGAATTCAAAGAGTTACACTTCGAGCTGAATCAATGTCGCACGATAAGAACTCAAGAATGTGGGATTTTCCAAAAGGTTCTGCAGCCTCTCGAAGATAAGTACAAACGTCTCCGTACCGATCCGCAAGACTCTACTAACCCGCTCATGACTCGTGAGACCTATGTAACCTAGGCTCTAATACCAATTTGTCACGACCCAAATCTACCATGTCGTGATGGCGCCTATCGTGGAATTAGGCAAGCTGACTCTTTTACCAAAATAGCCCAATATTTCAATTTAAAGATTACTTCAAGCTATTTAAATAATAAAACTTATAAGATAAGCCAGAATAACAAAGTGCGGAAAGAAAAGCCCGACATCGGGGTGTCACTAGTCATAAGCATCTACTAAGAACTGTCCGAAAATACTAAGACAAGTACAGTCTGGAAACCAACTAATAACATCTATAGGAAGATAGGAGGGAGGAAAGCACGGCTGCAATCGCCATGTAGCCACCTTGCTAACTCCGCAGATCCACGATGGATGAAAATCAACACTCGCTAGCACGTCCAGCAACCCCTGGATATGCACGCAAGGTGCAGGGAGTAATGTGAGTACGCGAACTCAGTAAGTAATAAAAGTAAATAAAGACTGAGCAGTAGTGACGAGCAATAAAGCATATACAGTTCATATCATGAAATCTCAGTAAAATACAACAGGCCTTTAAAACCATAGTTTGGATCAACTCGGCTTATTTAAATCCAGATTCAGTAAAAACATTTTTTTAAAAATGTCTTTCAACAGTTTTCAAAACAAGGCTCAATGCAACCGTGAGCAAAATGATGAAATCATGGACAACCCCTCGGGCAAACCTCACTCGTATACATCCCCTCGGGCAACATAATTCATAAATAGCCCCTCAGGCAAACATCACTCGTACATAGCCCCTCAAGCAAACATGAATCATAAACAACCCCTCGGGCATCACATCACTCAGAATCAGGGTACCCGCGCTCATTGGGGGTGTGCAGACTCTGGAGAGGCTCCTACAGCCCAAGCGCTATAATCCGCACGGACAACTCACGTGCTATACGGACAACTCACGTGCTATAACATCAATATCAGATTCTGCATGGACAACTCACGTGCCATAGTCTCAACATCTCACAATCAGGCACTCGGCCTCACTCAGTCATGAATCAGTAACAACATGCTGCGACGTGCAGTCCGATCCCATAAATATCATCACAAATCAGGCCCTCGCCCTCACTCAGTCATAAACCTCACAAGCCACTCGGGCTCTCAGTACAAACAGGGTACTCAGCCTAAAACAACATTTTTGTAAGCATCAAAATAGAGTAATAAAGACTGAGTTATAAAATCAATAAGTGTAACAAGACTAAGTATAGATTTTTAGCCAAGAACGGTGAGAGGATAGTAAAAAAAAAAAGCCCCTAAGGGTCCAAACAGCTCTGGCACAAGGCCCAAATATGGCATTCAGCCCAATTTACAGAAACTCTTTCTAAAACACATAAGTATCATATAGTTTCAACCAAATACGCAACTTTAATGTTGCTACGGGGCGGACCAAGTCACAATCTCCAACGGTGCACTCCCACACGCCCGTCACCTAGAATGTGCGTCACTTCAAAAATAGTAAAACGATACGAAATCCGGGGTTTCATACCCTCAGGACTAGATTTAAAATCATTACTGACCTCAAACCGGTCAAATCTCTACTCCGCGATGCTTTTACCCCTCGACTCGGCCTCCAATCGCTCCGAGTCTATTCACAACCAGAACAATACCATCAAAATACGCTAATGGAATAAATTCCACAAGAAAAAGTAGCAAATTAGGCACAAATCTCGAAATCCACTCAAACCCGGCCCCCGGGCCCACATCTCGGAATCTGACATAAATCACAAAATTAGAAAGCCCTTTCACACACGAGTCCAAACATACAAAATTTATCAAAATCCGACTCCATTTGACCCCTCAAATCCTCAATCAAACTCTACAAAAATCCCAAGCCCTAACCCCTCATTTTCACCCTTAATCACCACTAATTATATAATTAAACCACGGAATATTACCATAAATACGTGTATTAGGGCTCAAATTACTTACCTCAATGAAAACCCCCTTGAATCCATCTTCAAATTTCTCCCAAAAGCTCCGAAACCGGAAAAAAAATGGTGAAGAATGAACCAAAATTCGCGAAGCTCTCTATTTATACCTTCTGCCCAGCAAAACCGCACCTGTGGTACCAATTTTTGCATCTGCGGTCCGCACCTGCGGACAAATCTCCGCTTCTGCGGATTTTCATTAACCAGCCAAACTCCCCTTCTACGGTCGCCTGACCGCACCTACGGTCACGCAGATGCGGGGACCAAGCCGCACCTGCGGTTCCTCTGCGCACCTGCACCTCAAGACCGCTTCTGCGAAGCTCGCACCTGCGGTTCCCAATCCGTGGGTGCGGAAACACCAGCAACAGCAGCTTCAGCTGCACTTCCCAAATTCCAAACTCCCCGATGACCATCCGAATTCATCCCGAGGCCCTCGTGACCTCAACCAAAAATACCAACAAGTCACATTTCAACATATAAACTTAGTCGAACCTTCGGAACACTCAAAACAACATCAAAACACCAAAACACACTCGGATTCAAGCCGAAGAACTTCTAAACTTCCAAATTCCGCAAACGATGCCGAAACCTATCAAACCTCGTCCGAATGACCTCAAATTTTGCACACACGTTACAAATGATACCACAAACTTACCCCAACTTCCGAAATTCTATTCCGACCCCGATATCAAAATTCTACTCTCGACCGAAAATCGCCAAATTTCCAATTCAAGCCTAATTCCACCACGGACCTCCAAATCACATTCCGGACGCGCTCCCAAGTCCAAAATTACCTAACGGAGCTAACAAACTCATAAAAATCCAAATCCGAGATCGAATACTAAAAGGTCAAAACTTGGTCAAACCTTTCAAATTTAAAGTTTCAAGCTGAGTATCATTCTTCCATATTTGTTCCGATTAACCTGAAAACCAAAACCGACGATTTACATAAGCCATAATACATCATACGAGGCTAGTCATGCCCGAGAACTGGCGAGCGAAATGCAAATGCTCAAAACGATCTGTCGGATCGTTACACATTTTTTTTTATAAAATTCAAATCATGAAATGTATACTGAGACTTGACCTATAAATAGTGAACTCCCTTCAGAATAGAATGCCAAATCTGGAAACAGTATTACAGGAGAATAGTAATTTAATTTAGAAAGCCTGACATGGAACAAAGGATGGTAACTTAATTTAGAAATCCAGACATGGAACAAGTAAAAGTAATGTTTACATTACAGTAGACGTTTACATCACACTCCATTAGGGTACAATTTTTTCCTGCACCGTATGTGAACGTGAAATAGTTTGTGTATTTGTCTTTTTTTTTTTTTTTTTTTTTTTTTTGCTTTCATCACAGAAGGACAACAAGAATAACATGGAAAGTTTTGTCGTTTAAGAAAAAACTAAGAGCCCAAACAAAACCTAATATTTTCAATATTTTAACTATAAAAAGTAGTGTCAGGTTACATTGCCACTTAAGCATAAAGAAGATTATGTTGGTATAAAGCAAAACCAAAGATCTAATTACAGTGATTGTAATAAAATGACAATTGGATTTGAACCCACAATTGCTTTCTATCATTTTCGTAATCTTTCAAACGGAACCGTACAATGCATTAAGACTTATCCACTCTAAGCCTATACTTACGTGGTGCAGCTAGATGCTTCTGATCAATATAACACGAAAAAGGAAAGAAAACAAGTTTATGATGAACATCTTAAGTCGGTCTAAAATTTGACACTGTTAACTATTTGATGTATATTTCAACTATCTTATATTCTAACTATACTCTAGACGTGACTATTTGATAGCCTTGATTTCCCTGAATCACCTCAACTCAAGGAGGTGAGATGCGCGCGCTGCCACGTGAATTTTTGCATTTATGTGATATTTGAATATAGGGTGTGATTTTAGACCAAATTACATATTTTAGGATAGTGGTGTACATAGGTCGGGTTGGTTCGGATTTTGCAATTACCAAACTAAACTAATTGTGTCAGGTTATTAAATCTAAAGACCAAACCAAACCAATAAAACTTGGGTTTTTCAATCTCGGTTTTTTTCAGTTTTCAGGTTATTCGGGTTTTTTTCCGGTAAAATCTTTGTAGCACAAAATATATAATTTGTGCTCAAAATATTTCATTAATCCTAGTAAGATACAATTATATAAGGTATTTTCCAAGAAAATAATACAAAATATGAGATGTATCATGAAATTATTCTATAATATTCAACAATAAAGACAATAAAATTATGTAATGTAAATATTGCTAATTAAAAGGCCATAATAAAAATAAACATAATCTAAAAGTTCTAAGTCATGCTAAATAAGTAGACTAATAAGGGGGTATTAATTACATGACTAAACACTAAAGAAAAAATAAAATAGGTTATGCATTTTTATCTAAATTATTGCAGAACAAAAAAAAAAGTTTTCAATACATTGTGGTTCGCAGTATTGAATTGAATGTCTTTTGTTAGCGTTAGTATTGGTTTAATAATTTGGTGTGGGCTTTTGTAAGCATTATTTACGTTACTAATATTAATGGCTATAAAACTTATTGGAACATTCAGAAGTTCTGAGTCAACCTTGAAATAATATCTTAAAAAATAATATCATGAAAAAATTTAAGAAATATTTATAAATTACATCACAATAAGTATATCTATATATTAAATATATCTAAAACTTTTATATATGTAATGTCGGGTTGGTTTGGTTTCAGTTTGACTTTCTTTAGTTAAAGTTAAACCAAACTACTTATGGTCGGGTTTTTTTTTCCAACACCAAATCAAATCAAACTAAACCATAATCGGGTTTTTTTCTCGATTTGACTCGAATTATCGGATTGGTGCGGTTTGTCGGTACCCTTTGTACACCCCTATTTAAGGATATACAGAAGAATACCAGACAGAATATGATACTGCTTCACTTTGTCGTTATTATCGCCTCTAAAATGGACAAGGCCAAAAAAAGAATCAATGTGAAATGAAGATTACCCTATTAGTTTTGTAATGGATGAAGCTTCGATCCAACATGACTTTTATCTTGTTTATTGTGATCATATCTTACTCAACATGACCATATCTTAGTGGATTCATATGTGATTTTAGTACCTTATTGATGTGTCGCGATTAAGTTCATGACACGTATTGTTTGCTTTGGTCGAACAAATCTCACGTATTTGTTCCTTGGGCTATGTTATTATCGAACCCAAAAGCACACGTACAATGTAAATTTGTATTATGTTTTTATAAGCTTTTTTTTTTCTTTCATTCAGATATGGGATTCGCCTAAGATAACATATGCATCCCTTCTTTAAAAGCTTGCCAACCTAGAAGCTTGCCAGTCCTGCTTGATCCGCTCCTATTGGCTCGCCCTCCGCCATGAGTGCCACATGTTCCCTTTTGAAATTTTTTAGTTGATCGTGTATTTTTTTAATTATGGAGGTTAAATATTACTACACCTTTGAATAATTGTTTGTGCTTCAGTCCTTGTATGTAACGTATAGCACCAATAAGCCATAAAGTTCTAGTTAGTTTTCCTTTTCTTGTTTCTTTCTTTAGCTTATAGTTAGTTAATATCCTCGTCTTTATTTACACTTTAACATAGTTAATTAATATAGTTCAAAATATTAGGCTTAAGTAAGTATCTTCCTGTCACGTCCCGAACCATGGCTTGGGCGTAACACGACACTCGCTGCCTAACTGCATGTAACCGAGCGAACCAACTGGATGGTTGGATCAACATGTGGTATAATTGTAAGCAACATGCAACATGCTGATCTACTAAAGAGTCTGACTGAAATATCATAAATGCGGAAAACACTGAAAAATCTGCAAGTATAAACGAGTGGCCAACAAGGTTAACACATAAAAGCCTACTAACATATGTCTGACTGTACTATAGTCTACGAAGCCTCTAAGGAATACTGAAATGCTAATTGTTTACGGAGACAAGGTCCCGTCATACCTTATTAGCTGAAATACTATAAAGACCGAAAAAAAAGAGGGATAATGCCCTCGAAAGACTAGGGCTCACCAATAGCTGATACGAGAAGCCCTAGCAAGCAGAATCGTCAACTTGTAAATTGTTACCTACATTGCAAGACGCATGCCCCGGGCAAAAGGGACGTTAGTACATTTGAATTGCACTAGTATGTAAAACAACTGAAAGAGAGAAATGTAAATACTGAACCTGAAACTGAACTGATAATTGAGAATTGATGCGATAACTGAGAATTGATAACTGATAAACTGATAACTGAACAAGGAAGTAAGGATATGAATACTCCCTCTTCTGAATGATGAACCACATGTTTATATGATAACTACGGCCTCAGGCCCAATATAAATGTGCACAAGCTACGGCCTCGGGCCAAGTATACGTATACATAACTACAGCCTCAGGCCTAAAGATGCATAAAGTATAAACTACGACATCAGGCCCAAATATGCATACAGTATGAACTACGACCTCAAGCCCAAATATGCATAAAGCATGAACTTCGGCTTCAGGCCCAAATACAGGTGTTCAATATTCATGATTTAAAATAAGGAATTGAGAATCATACTGCAATACATGATAGTAAAATACTGAACCATACTGATGTGACGATCCAAAGGGTCATCACCTGTTTTCTCTTTCATTCCATGCTTCCGAGACCTTGAAAACCTCATTTTTACTTGCCTAGATATGCGTGCGCAGTCCGGGCGAGTAGCCAGAAAGCGTAATATGAATTTTGGGTAAACATTGATGAATTTTGATATTAATATGATTAAGTTGACTTTGGTCAACATTTTGAGTAAACGGACCCGGACCCGTGATTTGACGGTCCCGGAGGGTCCGTAGAAAAATATGAGACTCGGGCATATGCCCGGAGTCGAATTCCGAGGTCGAGAGCCCGAGAAATGAATTTTTCTGTGAAATTGTTTTCAGAAATTAATATGAAAATTGGAAAAGGAAATTAATTAGAACGTGTTGGTATCGGGCCCGTATTTTGGTTCCGGTGCCCGGTACAGGTCTTATATGTGGTTTAAGCGCTTTCTGTGAAATTTGGTTGAAATCGGACGTCGCTTGACGTGTTTCGGAACTAAATATCTAAAAATAAAAGTTTATGAAGTTTGATGAAAAAGTGATGATTTTGAGGTTTGATTCCTCGTTTTTGATGTTATTTTGGCGATTGGATCGCACGGTTAAGTTTGTAGTATGTTGTTGAGTTAGTGTGTGTGATTGGTTAGGAGCTCCGAGGGCTCGGGAGTGATTTCGGAGGTGTTCGGAGTAGTTTTGGAGTTAGGAAAAATTACAGAAAATCTGCTGTTGGTGCACAGTAATTCCCTTCTTCGCGTTCGCACTCACCCTATCGCGTTCGCGTAGCTTTGAGCTCTTCCTCCTTCGCGTTTGCGTTCTGGCCAACGCGATCGCGATGCTTTGCTGTTTCCTCCATCGCGTTCGCGTAGGCCAACTTTGGACCCCAGAATTTTTCCTCTTCGCGTTCGCACTTCTCCACTCGCAAACGCAATGGTTGTCAATTTCTGCCCTTCGCGAACGCAACCCTACTGTCGCGAACGCATAAGGTAATTTCACCCAGCGATTTTTAAGTCATAAAAATAGAACAATGTCGGGTTTTATTCAAAAAATACACGAACCCTTTCTTCTCCAAAGCTTCTAGGCGATTGTTAGGCCATTTCTTCATCAAAGCTTCTTGGGTAAGTATTGTTTAACTTGTCTCCTTCATTTTCCATCATCATTTATCAAATTCCTAAGCTCAAATCATGTAATCTAGGGTTGAAATTGGGGAAAATGGCTAGAGTTAGGGCTTTTCAATTTTCTTTGATTTAGACCTCGTTTTGGGGTCGAATTTGAAAACAAATTGTATATCCGGGCTCGTGGGGGAATGGGTGATACGAATTTGGTCCGAAACTCGTGTTTTGACCAAGCGGGCCCAGGGTCGATTTTTGGAATTTTGGGAAGAAGGCTTAGAAAACTATATTTAGGCATTGGGTTTGATTTGTTTAGCTTATATTAATGTTGTAAAGTCGTTATTTCATAGATTTGATTGAGTTGGAGCCGAATTCGAGAGGGAAAGCGGTCGTTGTGGATTGATTTAGCCGTGGAAGTTGAGGTAAGTGTTTGGTCTAACTTTGGCTTGAGGGAATATGAGTAGAGTCTTACTTGCTAATTGCTATTTGTCGAGTACGGTGTATAGGCATGGTGACGAGTATCTATACACTGGTGTCGAGCATGACCGTGAGTCCTGAATTGCTATATTATCGAATTCTTAATTGTTGTTTATGAGGACTTGGTTGGAAATCTTTAACACTGAGCCAGTAATTGATGAGTCTGAGTATTGATTTAATTGTGTTAAGTAGAAATTGAGTAAGTTTGGTTATAGCTGGATCTCCCTTGCCGGGATAGTTTATTATATTATCTCGTTCCCTTGACGGGATAGTTTATTATAACATCTTTCTCCCTTGCCGGGATTACTTTGTGTATTGTGTTGAAAGAAATGGGATCGTGTGGCACGCCGACCACGAGATATTATGAAATGGGATCGTGTGGCACGCCGACCACGAGATACTATGAAATGGGAGCGAGTGGTACGCCTACCACGTGATATTATGAAATGGGAGCGAGTGGTACACCTACCACGTGATACTATAAAATGGGAGCGAGTGGTATGCCTACGACGTGATATTATGAAATAGGAGCGAGTGGTACGCCTACCACGTGATATTATGAAATGGGAGCGAGTGGTACGCCTACCACATGATATTATGAAATGGGAGCAAGTGGTACGCCTACCACGTGATATTATGAAATGGGATCGAGTGGTACGCCTACCACGTGATATTATGAGAAATGGGATCGAGTTGCACGCCTGCAACGAGAGGAAATTGAAACAAGTGAAAGTGGTTTGTTTTCCCTTATTTTGTGTTAGAAGAAATCAGATGTAGTTTCTTTTGTTATTCCTGATATTCCGTTTTATCTGCTACCCCATAAGCATGTTCCCCTCCCAGTTTTAATTGTTTACTTTCCGCTATTATTTTGTTGTACTTGTATATATATATGCACAGGTTTATCTGGTAGTCTGGTCTAGCCTCGTCACTACTTCGCCGGGGTTAGGCTAGGCACTTACCAGCACATGGGGTCGGTTGTGCTGATGCTACACTCTGTGCATCTTTTTGCACAGATCCAGGTGTTGGAGCAGCATTTGAGTAGCAGTAGCATTCTGGGAGCGAGCTTTCAGTCCAGGGACATTCGAGGTAGCCTTGCTGACGTCCGCAGGCCCGGAGTCCCTTTCTACCTTATTCAGTCTGTTATCATTTGTACCGAAGAAGACAGTGTTATATTTCATTCAAACCTTGTATTTAGTATTCTCTAGACGTTCGTGAGTATTGTGACACCAGTCTTGGGTAGAGGATTTTGTTAAACTTCCGCATTTCCTTCAGTTAATTATATTTGAGACTTCCGCTTTATCATATTATGCTTTGTTTTCATTAAATGGACGATAATTGCTAAAAGAATTAAATTAAGTTGGCTTGCCTAACTCCTATTAGTAGGCGCCATCACGACTCCCGAGGGTGGGAAATTCGGGTCATGACAACTGAGTTACATGATACTGAAATGTTGAATAGGACTCGTCTGGATATGTATTCATAATAAAATGATCTTCCATAACTGAGACTCATGGGATATTGAATGAATTATGAAACCACGTCATCTAGAGAATAGAAGTTCTACAACTATTCATGAAACTGGGCATAATTACTTTGTGAGAAAATTTGTAATAGTCATAAGAATGAGACATAGGGAGAATCATAAACATTACCAAACATAGTGAGTTAGCCTCACATACTTTAACTTCCTGCTCTTGAGGGTAATACAACGTTTGTCAACCCTTTCAACTTTAATCTATAGCAATACAAGTCAAAAGGATTCCATATTAACAATAATACTCATGTTTTGGTCACTTAGATATTTTATCAAATACTTGGTGGGTATAAAGCTTCATAGCCCTTATTAATAGTGTTTCTACACCCTAAAACCCATTCTCTTGATCCTAAATAAATTTTAAAATCTCAAATGGTTATAATCAACATCATTCTTCGTCACCTATAAGATAAACAACACCCTTAACCAATAATCAATAATCAACAACCCAAACCTATAAACGTTCACGCTTTTCTGTCAATCAAGATCAAGTACAGGGTGAAGATATTACTTTTTTGACGTTCAATCCTCTTGAATTCGAGTTCTAAAGTTTCTTTTCTCAACAATAATGTCTCAATCGAATATCTAATAATTTGAAGGGTTTATCAATGTTAATAAGGTGTTGAAGAATTGAAATTAACTTAAAATCACCATTAAAACTCACCTTGGATGGTGGAGGGACCTTGAGGGAGGTTAGGTTCTTGAGAGCTTCCCTTTCAAGAGCAAGTTTTTGTGTTTTGGGGTATGGGGGACGAAGTATTGATTTTAAAATGACCCCCCGAGTACGCTCATGCGCACCTGAAGGCCCAAACACGCACCTGAATACGCAGC